ATATATTAATATGTGTAGAAAATATTTAAAAAGAAGTATTGTGCATAATCTTTACCTGCTGTTTTATACTTGTTTTTATTCCTCCTATACTACTTTATCTTTAAATGGATAAATATGTTTTTTATGGTTCTATATCCTTTTTTCTCCCACTAATTTTTCTCGTGTGTTATTATAGGAAGGAGAATCTTCAGCTTTTAATGTATCTAAATATTTGATTTTGTTGTAATACTGTCTCCAATTGATAGAACATGATAATATGTATGTGGCACTTTGTAGCAGAGAATTTTCTCTGCAACATTAAAGTCTAATCGACATAAGCTGCTGTTTTTTTAAATTAAGATCCTGCATCCTGGGTTTCTTGAAAGAAAGGACGAGTAAGCAGTTGGCATTTCAGCTACCACAGTACCATCTGTCCAACGTTCTTAGTCTGAGCCAGCTTTTATGTTAAGTGGCTCAGAAATATGTGAGTTTGTACATTTATTATATAATACATTAATTATTACCCCATGTTTTTTCTCCTGATTTTATCTTGAACATAGGGGTAACACAATTTTGTTATTCTTTTATTTTATTCTGTGTGCTCTCACCATTTCTACCATTTTATTCATTTATGGGGATGTGTTGTGTTTTGGGGTACTTTTGGGACTTTGTAAAAATGTGTGTTTTTCTGCCTGGAGATAATTGGGTTAATACAGTATCTGACTCAATTATCTCACAGGCAGAGGGGAGGAATTGTATGCTTGTTATGGGAGTGTTGTACATTTAATTACTGTTTTTATTGGTTTGTTAACTTGTGTCCCTGTCCCCAACAAGGTCCATGTGTGTGTCACCCTTGTTGGGAAACTTGCATAAGAGCCAGTGTGGCTCCATTAAAATTGAGTTTGTTTTACCCTAAACATGTGTGGGGGAAAAGGCTGCCTCTACCCTGGGGATTGCTATATCACTATACTCCCCTGCTATTATAATCACTAGATCTTTTAAGAGCTGTTCCTGCTACGCTCTCTGGGAGTAGGAGAGGTTCACCCAATAAAAGCTGGATCCTGGTCTTCGGTCCAGGGTGGGTGGAAGACGGCGAGTTCCCAGCCAAGCTGTAACACTGGATGTGGGGATTGCGGTGTTGATAGTGTCTAGTGGAGTGCTTGGAGTCCTCAGTAAGCATTAGGAGCATCCGTTGGTGGAGGTACCCAACTGGGGTACAGGAAGCTCCGTTACAGTCACCAACACCAACAGCTTCATAAAAGACACAAGCGACTTCCTCAACAAACTCAGCCAAATCACCAATCTCCCTGCTAACACCATCCTTGTAACCATGGATCTGGAATCTCTGTACATCAACATTCCACATATAGATGGCTTCCACCCCTCCCATACTAAACAGGGCATCATCTACAGCCAAGCCACTAGGTACCATCGCATATGCTCTGATCCTAATGACCATAATTCCCATCTAAATGTACTCTCCAAATCTATGAAATAGAAAGGCTACAAACCAAAGATTATTACCAGACAAATCAACTCTGCTGTAAAAACTCCACACATGCGCCTGCTACAGTACAGGGAGAAAAAAATATCTACATGAGTTCGACTTGGTCACCTACAACCCAGCTCTTAAGGAAATACGGAAAATCATTAAAGACCTACAACCAATGTTATCAGAAGATGACACTCTGAAAAACATTTTCTCTGAAATACAAAAAAGCGCAACAAAAGGTTAGGTCATGGATACATAAGTACAGAGTATTCCAGATCTAACCCTTAGTAAAGGCAACCTTAGTAAACTAATCTTAATAAAACATAACTTTTAATAAATTCGGGTTAAAAGTACTATATACACATACTCAATAAAGGGGAGAGGCGATCAGGACCAAATGATACTTGCTGAAGTAGTGGTAGTATCTACGGTATAGGGATAGTCATAAAAAAATCTAAAGTCCAATTTTACCAAATAGATAGTAAATAAATAAATATGTCCCCAACTCCCATCACCCAGTGCCAAACAAGCATAGATCCCCCTCTCCCCTCATATTAGAAATATAGCCAAAGCTAAATCACTGATGGCTAAATCTCCATTTTAGAAAACGAAAAGATAAATAAAATAAAATTAGTAGCTAGGTGGCTAATCTAAGAGAGTCAAGCTGCAGCATCGTCCCTATTGATCTCCGCCACCCACTGCCCTAAATTCCTGAGGCGCGTTTCGCCGACTACCGGCTCTTCCAGGGGAACCGGGTAAGAGTCAATAGTTAGTTTAAATATCCCGCCCTCCGCTCTGGTTGGCTAGTAGTTCCACCAATCAGATTAGAGGACTGAGAAAAAAGACGTCTCAGTTCACATATTAACCCTTAGTAGTACAGGTAAATAATCAAAATCCTGTATCAATTAAATGGTAAATAACTTTGTGTACCAATTGTAAATACCTATATTGTAGCAAATAGAGGTATTTACATAGGGGTTACCCCTCACCAATTAGTGGCAACCTGACACACTCTCCCTACCTTTATCTTTATTACATTTTCTCTGAAACACCCATTTTGGTCTTCAGATAACCACCAAACCTCCAACAAAAATCAATCAACAGGAGCTAAATATTAATTTGGGTTTCCTGCCCCAGTGCCAACACTTTACATGAACACTCCCCCAGCATTATCTTATTGTTCTGTCATATGTATCAACACTTTAAAACGTATTCCAATTAGTGATGTCCCGAACGGTTCGCCACGGACTCATCATTGAGTAAACTTTGACCCTGTACCTCACAGTCAGCAAACACATTCCAGCCAATCAGCAGCAGACCCTCCCACCTCCTGGACAACATCCATTTTACATTCATTGTGAAGCTGCATTCTTAGTGAGCTGTCCAGGAGGTGGGAGGGCCTGGGAGGGAGGGTCTGCTGCTGATTGGCTGTAATGTGTCTGCTGACTGTGAGGTACAGGGTCAAAGTTTACTCAATGATGAGTCTGCGGCAAACCGTTCGTGGCGAACCGTTCGCGAACCGTTCGGCGAACTGTTCGGGACATCACTAATTCCAATATGTTCATTCTATCAATATACAAAGTACTATGTATAGACCTGTGCTTTCCCATACTCTTATGCATGTATGCCTATATATGTGACGGTGCATTTATATTTGTGTATATGAGTTTATGTGCATGTATGTATATATGTTTAGGTGTATGTATATGTATATGTGTTCATGTGTTTGCATATACATATATCTATAGTTGTGAGTGTTTGTATGTATAAAGTGTACCATCTTCTGCATTTTCTGCTTGGTTTTTGTTTCTCCCTCTCCCCACTCACTCTGATCTTCAGAAAGATATTTATGACCCTCTGCAAGAATGTTGTCTATTTTCTATCAAACCTGTGTCCTATCTGCACTGATGTCACTTTAACCCCTGTATCACAACTCAACTTTGAATTCTATGTGTCGTCTTGCTCAGAAATGCTTCAGACGTGAGAAAGTGAGGTTCTCCCGAAAGCTTGTCATTAAGAAATTCTGTTAGTCCAATAAAAAAGGTATTACAAGATACAAACTACAATCTCAACTTAATTAGTAATATATATATATATGTATTAAGGCCGTTTGGCCTGTATTTGTGGGAGGGGCTTAAATTAATTCACTCCCCTATATAAGGGACACCCCTTACCTGACTCATATCGCTTGAGGTCAGCATCAGAATGACCCTCCCACCCACTCCTCATTTCAACACTTTCTCTTTTATTTCCATTTACTTTACTTTCTTACTCCTTGGTGGGCCCTCTTTATTTACAGGCCTACCGTATCGTCGGTCTCGGCACACCACAACCGACTTGCTCCCTTTATACTATCCTACGCTTATGCTGGATCCTTACTCCATATACGACTATTTGCCCCTTACACAAATATATATATATATATATATATATATATATATATATATATATATATCTCAAAATACCCATAGAATGATATTAATCAAATATATATATAATTGTGTATGTATAATATAAAATATATAAATATATAAATACGTTAAAAATTTAAAATAATAAAAAATAAATAGTTAAAAAAAATATATACATATGTGTAATTTCGTTCTAAGTGTATTTTGATATCAATATAATGGAAAATTGTTTCACACTTACCGTAATTTTCTTTTCCTGATAATTATTCATGGCAGCATTTACTCATGGGTTAGCTTCTCCCCTTACAGCAGAAAGGACAGGAAATAGAACTTTGAAACTGGTATAAATAGAT